CCTCCCTCCCTCCCTCCCTCCCTTCCTCCCTCCCTCCTTTCCTTCCTTCCTTCTTTCCTTCCTTCTTTCTTTCCTTCTTTTTTTTTATGAATGTAAGATATTGATGATTTTTTAGTGCTTTTCAGAGTTCTGAATGTCCATCCTAATGTTGACACTTGATGAGCTAAAAACAAGAAGTGAATGTAAGAACTAGCTGTGATCGGTGACATTTAACATCACGAAGTTAAGCATACTGGAGTTATGTCTTACCATCGAGCGTTTGCCTCTGCAATGACTCTTGTATCCCATGCGTGACACCAACACAACCCTCTCTCATTTACTCATCCACTCAACAAAGACAGACAAAGAGCTTGGATCTGTAATACATTCCATAGTGAACAAAAGAGGCGGATCTGCTGTAGGGGCGGGCATAGCATCTGGTGGGTAACTCTGACATTAAACAGACACAAACGTGATACTACATAATTATAAACAGGGTGAGTGAGTGAGCAGATGGGATGGAGCTCAATAGTTAAGAGGCAATTTCATTTAGCCTTGATGTCAGAGAAGCCTTCCTCGAGGAAGAAAAGTGGTTCTGACTGGATGGAGTACTGCAAAGCTATGCCATTAACTTATTTGAGTGTTAGCTAGACCATTGAAGCTTACAGACTGAACTAGAAGGCTATTTTGAAGGCATCTTTCAAGTCTATGATCTTGGATGACTCCATATAGATACAGAAAATTCAGAACTGCCCACCCCAGAAGCTTCAGTTCCCCATTTGCAGTAGTGAGAGATGCCTGTGTTAGCCTGGATCACTACTTTTTCTTTCCCAAGGTTGTCAAAAGCCCCTGCTGTTAATTGCATATTGTCTCCTCTTGTTTTTTCAAATCACTCTTCTGTTTCAACTCAGATTATTTCTTATAGGATCCATTCCTATCTAAAGCTGAATGGAATGAGATAATGTCTCTGTTGAGAAAAAATGCAAACAAATATTCTTTCACTTAGATGTTAAAAATAACTTATCTTCCTGCCTCAGCCTCCTGTTTACTGAGATTATAAGCATGTATCATGCCCATGTAGTAAGAACTTTAAAAATATTTATTAATGGTCTAGAGAGAATTACATGGACAAAACACTTGCCATGTAAGCAGGAAGAGTTCAATTTGGATTCCCAGAAACTACATAAATGCTCAGTGCATATGTAATTCTTGCCTGAGCAGGCAGAGACAGGGAATCTTTCTCTAGTCTATATTGGAAAGTTCTAGGTTCAACTGTGAGACTTTGCTTCATTGAATAAGGTGAAGAGCTACTAAGAAAGATTTTAACTTTGTGCTTCCACATACATATTCACAAAAATACACACAAACACATATACATGCATGCAAATATACTATAGACATACACATACAACCTGTTTGTTTGCTTGTTTATTTGTTTCTGTATTTAGATAGTTAGTGAGTGAGTGGTGTTGGGGTAGACTCTTGGGCTTCCTGACTGCTAGGCAAGCACTCTGCTACATACCTAGCCAAGAAACATTATTTAAAATGAAGATACAGAGGTAGACTTTTGGCAGGCACTGATGGCTCACTAGATTGAAGAAGGCCTTGTGAAGTCAAATTGATTCTTTGGAGATATATTTATAAGTTTCTGCCATTTGTGGGAACCCATTACAAGGCTAATATACTTTTTCTTGAGGGACACTTTCTCGTTTTGCAGGTAGGCATAGAGGTATGAAGCAGAACTTAAAATGTACAAGTAAATTTGACGACATCGACTCAGGTGATTAACCACCAGAAGGTATCTATGTTCCAGGGAAGAGTCTTTAAGACACATGAAAATATGCCCCAATTCTATTCGTTTTAGGTGAAGCAAAGCACAATGGATGAGATCCACCTTGCCTGTTCAAGTGACATTCAAAACTAGCCCACCTGCCCTATTAGTAAACTACTGTTATTGGTCTGAGGTCTTTCAGAGATTTTCCAGTCAGACCATGAATACATTTTAATAAATAAGAGGAACATGGATACAGACCAACTCCATACCCAAGAATATGACCGTACATTACATTAGTCAGAGGGGGTTATAATAAGGGCAAAATTCACAGGGCTATGCACTTCCTGCCTTCGTGCGATCAGAGGCCAGCATACATCCTGCTTATGTACTTCCTTTCTACATGTGATCAAGCACACATCCTGTGCAACTAGGGTAACCGAACTTTACAGAAGCAAAAACATGTCCTCTGGCATTTCAGGAAGTTATCTGTCTGTGGACAAGTGGGGCTCACACCTTAGAGGTATTTTTGTCTCATAGATCTCATAAGCATAGCAATTTAAACGGAAAACCTTGTGCTAACCATCACACTATCCCATCTCCTGTGAATCTGTACTTTCCTGGGCTTATGACGTGCTAAGTGACAGCTACAGCTTTTCAGGTTCTAGAGCCAACCTCCTTGGAATCATTCTTCACTTTTGTCCTTTATACTTTCCCCATATTGAAGTCATTAGAAAATCTTGTCAGCTCTACCATGGCAAAGCCTTTCCTGCTGACGACCCTGTTGCTACATGTCTCACTGTTGTGAGAAAATACCTGAGCTGACAGAATGATACAGGGGAGGCAGGATTGGTTTTAGGCCAGGGTTTATGAGAGTATACAGTCCATCATGGCAGGAAAGGGATGGTGGTATTCTTGCTTGCAGAAGCTTATGACTGAGACTCCTCCCACCTTGGCTAACCAGGAAGCAGAGAGCTTGGATCACAAGCAAGGTTCAGTTATAACTGTAAAAAACTGCTCCCCCCTCACACCCCGGGACTCAATTTCTCCCTGGAGGACTGCTTCCTAAAGCTTCCATAACCTAAAACAGCACCAGAAAATAAAGAGCCATGGGGCCCAGGAGATTTTTCAGTGGGTAATGTTCTTGCTACATAAGTATGGAGTATGAGAATCTGAGCTCAGGGAACCCAAGTAAAAAAATTCAAGTGTGGTGATGCATACATGGAAACTCAGTGGTAGGAAGCAGAGGTTTAAGGACTCAGTGGGCTTGGTGGACAACCAACCTAGCTAATTGATAAGCTCCTGGTTCACTGAGAAACTTTGCCTCAATAAATAAAGTCAAAAGCCACCAAAGAAGACATCTGGCATTGACTTCTGGCCTCCATGCAGCTGCGCACGCACACACACACACACACACACACAAATGTCTTTGTGAAATAAACTTCTCTTGTAGAAGACCTTGAAGCAAAGAAACATTTATATGTTGGTTTCAATGTCTTGATGTTTTGATGATATTGAAGCAATGCTGAAAATATCCTGAGGTAGGAACATTCCCAGAGGGGTGTTTTTCCCCCTCCTGATGAGGAAGGGAAGAGATAGTGTCCAAGGCTTCTTTGAAGCTTTGAAATGTAGGATCCCTTTGAAATGCATGCTGGGCTGGGCTCTGGTGAGTAGGGGCTGATTGAGTGGAAGACAGAACTTTAAGGCGATGACAAGTGTTTGGTGGAAATAATTAGTGTCTTTAGCAGGAACAGTCAATCATGTGCCTTTGTTTAAACTCCGTCCCTAGATATTGAAATGCATTTCATAACACTTGCTAGAGTGCCGGAGAAAATGGAAACTGGTCTTTGTATTTCAAGTGTTCTTTTTCTCTTGAAGATTTTCTCGATTCCTTTACATTTGGGTGTGTAGGACTTTTATGTGATTAAAATGTGTTATATCCTAGAAAATTGTCCTTTTATATAATTTCAGTCATC